ATATATATATATATTATTATATATATATATATATATATATATATATATATATATATATATATATATATAATATTATATATATTGTATTTTTTTTTAACTTATTCTTAACATTATTATGTAATTATTAATCTATTGCTAATATTTTTTTTGTAATCTTTTTTTTCTATTATTTATTATAATTTTTAAATTCAATTAATTATCCTTTAATCGAGGTTTTTAATTAATGCTTATAAATAATTTTCTATATTTTGATTTTCTTTAAAATAATATTCTTTTAGAGTATAATTATGTCTGAATTTTTTTATTTTAAATTTTAATATTTATCACTAACAAATACTATTTTTTTATATATATTTTATTAAAAATAATAAAGATTTTGTAAAAAAAATTAAAAATATTTAATAATATTATTCTAATTTATATATATTACATTTTTTTTAAAAAAAAATAATTCAATTACTAATTATTTTTTTATACATATTATTTTTCTGATTCTTTAGAAATAAAAAAATACTTAAAAGGCATTAATTAGCAAATGATTAAGGTTTCCTTTTTTTATGAAATTGAAATAACTATTTTTATTTTAAAAAAAGAGATTGAAATAGGAATATTTTAAATTGAATATTAACTAAATAAAATATTTGCGAAAAAGTAATAATTTTATTTCAATAAATATATATTTTTTTAGTTTTTATAAATTGTATTTATAAGTCAAGAAAATAATAAAAATTTTTTTTATTATAAAATTTTTTTAATTTTAATAAATTTATTAAGACATTTATAATATATTATTAACATAGAATAAAATTATAGATTTCGCATAAAAATGTAGTAAATTTACTAATAAAAATGAATAAAATAAATATATATATATATATATTTATATTATTATTTTTTTATTTATTTTATTTTCTTAATTTTACTTTGTATATTAAAATTTTCTTTTATTCTATATTTTTAATTTAATTTAAAATTATTTAATTACTGTTTTTTATAAAACTATAATATTATTATCTAATTATTCATTATATATTTATTTTTATTATATTTCTTTTATTTCTTAAATATTAATCAAACTTTAATATAATACATTCAGAAGCCTCTTTTTCATCATTTTTTTATTAAATAAATTTCTTTTATGAAATTATATATTTTATTTATATATTTTTTCTTTTTATTATTAATATGGGAGAATTATGATAAAAACAATGGAAAATAACAAAAAAAACTGAAATACATAATTCAAACGTTTAAATATAAATATGAAAATATTAAAATGATAAAACAATTATAGTGTTAAAATTGAATATATAAATCTAATAATAATATTTTTATTTAGAAACAAAAAAAATTATATTAAAATATTTAAAAATATATAAAAAAAGTTATTTAATTTTTAAAATTTTTATAGCAATAAAAAAAAAATGAATAGCTTTATATAAAAATGACAAAATTTATTATATTACAATTATTGATTGTAGTAAATATTATATTTATCTTTAATTAATTAAATTTAATATTATAATTAAAAAAAATAAAAAAAATAATTAAAAAATAAAAATATAGATAAAAGACACATTAAAATAAATAAATGTAAAAAAAAAATAAAAAAAAATAATTTGATTTATATAATATATATTATAATAATAAAAATAAAATTAAAATAAAAATAAAAATAAAAATAAAAATAAATAAATAAATTAATGTATAAAAATAAATTAATGTTAATATTTATATATATATATATATATATATATATATATATTTATATATATAATAATTAAAATTAACCTTTACTATATATATATATTTTTATTATAATAATAAAAAAAAAATTTATTTTAAATTATTAAAATGTTAAATTATTTTTTATAAAAAAATATTTATAAAAGTTCATATTTTTATTGTAAATAAAAATAATTTTTATTTTTTTTTATTTTTAAAAAAATATTGTTTAAATTAATTTCTTCTTATTAATTAATAAATTTAAATAAATATCTTTTATTTAAATAAAAATATTTTATATTTAATGTTTATAAAAAATTAATTAATATTGTTATAAAAATTTAATTAATTTATATTTAATTTTACTAGGTCTAAATTATATTTTTTATAAAAAATATTCATAAATTTTATTTAAGATTAAATAATAATAAACTATAAAATGCAAAAATTTTAATTAAAATTATATTGAATAAAAAAAAATTATTGGCATTTTAATTTAAAAACATTAAATTTACACTCTATTTTAAAAAATTATTAATAATATGATAGATTATAAATATTTTTTAATAAATACAAATTTATATATATTAATTAAATATAATATGTTATAACAACAATATATAAATACTTAATAATGTAATATATTTTCTTAATAATAAATATAAATAATCATATATATTTAAAATATTTCGTTCTAATATTAATATTAATAAAGGCTTTAATATTAATCCTATTAATATTTTTTTTAATATTTACCCATAAAGTAAATTAAAATAAATGTTAAATTATTAATAAAAGAAATAATTTTTTACAAATAATAAATAAATATTAAATTAATTAAATATATATAATTAAACAAAATAATAATATTTTAATGGTTATGTTTAAAAAATTAACTTTAATTGCTATCTTAATTATAGTTATATAGACCCTTCCTCACCATCAATGTGCTCATGAAAGTAAAAAAGTATAAGATCACTATAAGAAATTGCAGGAAAATTACGAAAAAATCTAAAAATCAAACAATGAATAACGTATACTTTAAACAGGTGATGAAGCAAAGCCTATAAGAATAACTATAGACTATTCACTTATGGACAATATAAAAATAGATATAACACAATAATAAAAAGAATACTTAATAAAAATAATAGAAACATCCAAACATTTTTTCTAAAAACTTTTAAAAGTTTACCCGATAAAAGGAAATAACATTTATTCTTCATATTGGCCTGACGACTGTTTAGGTACTGAAATTCCTTAATCTTATAAAAGAGTAGGAATTCCCGATTCGGATTTAAACTTACACATAATTTATAATAATGATGATAATGGAGTAATTGCTGACGCAGTCTATTGTTCAATGTCAGATGAAGGAATAACAAGACCTACTTTTGGAGAAGTAAATTTTAACATATAAAATATATTAAAAACAGAAGAAACTCCAGTAACTTTCAAAATTGATTTAGACTCGACAATACATGAAATTTTACATGTTGTCGGTTTTTCATTGAACTCTATGTATTATTGGATAAATCCTGAAACTAACAATATCTATAAATTTAGCTATGAAGAAAAATTATAAAAAGTAAAAACAATCAGAAATATAAAAACTGTACTTTTAACATCGAAAAATGTAGTAGAAGTTACTAGAAAATATTATAATTGTCCAACAGCTGAAGGTATGCAAATTGAAAATTAAGTAAATATATATAAAAAAATAAATATATAAATATATAAATATATAAATATATAAAATATATATAAATTTATATAAATATATATAAATATATATTAATTTATAAATATATATATCATATTTTTATATATATAAATTCATTATAATTAAAATACATTAATTTTTTTTTTAATATATGTTATATTTATTTTAGGGTGATATAGGTTCAATTGGCTCTCATTGGGAAAGAACCATTCTTTATAATGAATATATGACTTCCTCTAGAATTACTGTAAATAAGGTTTTTTCTATATTTACAATTGCTGCTTTGAAAGATACTGGATTTTACCCTGAAGTAAATGATAATATGGCTGACTAGATTTATTGGGGAAAAGGAAAAGGTTGTGAATTTTTTGAAAATGCTTGTTATAGTTAAACTTAATTCCCTGAATTTTATTATAAGTCTGACGATGAATATTAATGCTCATTTGAAAATGAAGGTCTAGGTTTACCTGATGTTGACTAATTTTGTGATGGATGTACTATAATAACACCTTTTTTATATGAGCTATGTACAAATCCCTATTATTTAAATATTATAGACGAAAAATAATAAGAATCAGATAAATTATCTAATTATTCAACTGAAAGTAAATGCTTCTAATCTTCAGCTACAGATATGAAATCACTTTTTGATTATCATCTTTCATTAAGATGCCATTTATTCAAATGTTCCTCCGATGCATCTTAAATAACTATTAAATTTCCCAGCATTTAAACATGAAATTATATGTGGAAAAGGAGACTAAGGTAAATAAATAGACATTGATAAAACTCAATAAAAAGCTAGAGGTTAATTAACATGTCCTTTAGATTATAATAGATTTTGTAATTATACTCCTTTATGTCCCAATTACTGTTATTCAAACGGAGTCTGTGTGAACGGTCAATGTATCTGCAAAACAGGATATGGAGGTGTCGATTGTTCTATATAATGCTCCGGAGTAGTCTTTAATTCTAAGTGTTTAGAATAGTCATAATGTCCTTCAGGTTTCTTTTTGAACCCAGATAATACTTGTAAATTAGATTGTGCTTTCGGCTATTTCGAATATGATGGAAAATGCAAACCATGTAATATTGATTGCTCTAGATGTACAGGACCATCAGATAAATAGTGTACTAAGTGTTAGTTTTTGAAATTATTGCAAGAAAATTAGTGTGTGGATAAATGTGATGAGAAATAAGGATATTCACCTAATTATGATTTGGGTATTTGCGAGATTAAATATTTTTAATGTAAAGGAAATTGCGAAACTTGTGAATAATAAAATTCTACTGTTTGTTTGTCTTGTAAAAAAGGCTTTTTTAAATAAGATGATAAGTAGTGCTCAAGCAAATGTCCTTAAGGACTTGTCGGAAACTAAGAAACATAAGAATGTGTAAGACCTTCTGTTGGATGTCTTTAATAAAATGATTCTAGTACATGTAATATATGTGATACTAGTAAAGGATATAGATTAGGTTCAGATAAAAAGTGTACTTTGTGTAAGTAAAATTGTTCCTAATGTAATCCTAAAAATGTAGAAGAGTGTTTAGTTTGTGACGGAAATAAATTCCAAATTTACGGTACTAGTTGTGTAGAAAGATGTCCAGATTCTAGTTTTTTATCTAATATTAGTGGAAAATGTGAAAATTGTTCTCAAAAATGTTAATAATGTAATTAATCAGGTTGTATAAAATGCGAAGAAGGCTATTATATTGATACTAAAACAAAAAAGTGTGCTTAGTGTTCTTCTAAATATACTAATTGTTAATCATGTGATAGTCTATCTTGTAAAAAATGTAATAATGGATATTAATTTGATCCTTTAAAAAAATAATGCTAATAAATCTCTGTTAAATCTGGAACTATTGTAAAAACTGGAACTACTGTAAAAACTGGAACTACTGGCACTACTGGAACTAATATAAAAAATGGAACAACTGGAACTACTGTAAAAAATGGAACAACTGGAACTACTGTAAAAAATGGAACTACTGGAACTACTGTAAAAACTGGAACTACTGGAACTACTGGAGCTACTGGAACTACTGGAACTGCTGGAACTACTAAAACTACTGTAAAAACTGGAACTACTGGAGCTACTGGAACTGCTGGAACTACTAGAACTACTGCAAAAACTCGAACTACTGGAACTACTGGAGCTACTGGAACTACTGGAACTGCTGGAACTACTGGAACTACTGGAACTACTGTAAAAACTGGAACTACTGTAAAAACTGGAACTACTGTAAAAACTGGAACTACTGGAAAAACTGGAACTACTGGAAAAACTAGTAATACTGGAGTTACAGGAAACAAAGGAAATACTGGAATACAAGGAAATAAAGGAATATAATGCCCAACCGGATGTAAAGAATGTAAATAATCTGGACAATGCTTATCATGTAATTAAGGTTTAATTTTTGATAATAGCACGAAATAATGCGTTATTTGCTTAAAAAAATACAGTGATTGTAAAGAATGTACGGAAACTAAATGCACATAATGTGTTTCTGGATATACATATAATGAGTAATAAAAATAATGCAAAGTACTACCGAAGAAGTCTAGATTATTAAATTATTTTTAAGGCGAGATTTAATAATATAATAGTTATTAAGGAGTCTTTGGTTTTTTTATTGTATATGTTTTATTTGGATTATTACTGTGAAAATTTAAAAAAAAAAGTAAAAGAAAAGTTTATTTTTATTTTTTATATATATAGAGTATTATAATGTCATTTTAATTTTTATTTTAGTGATTAGTAAACTATATTGTTTTATTTTTTATATTTTTTGTTGTATTTTTTATTAAATTGATTTACAATTATTTAATTAATTTATAAAAAAAGTAGAATTTTTTCAAAAAGAAATTTTGAATAGTATACCATCATTATTATTTAGTTTATAAAAATACAATTTTTTTTAAATAAATATTAATGTTAATTTTAAATAAATACAAAATTACTAATAATTATTATTACAAATACTCATATTAAAAAAATTAATAGTATGTATATATATATAATAAGTCTGTTTATTAAGGCTATTTAATTTTTTTCTAAATTAATATAATGAATATTACAAATTTTTTTAAGTTTTTTCTTTTATTTTATAAAATTTGCTATTTATTAAAAGTAGAAAATAAAAAAAATGTTAGTATTTTTTTTTCTAATTTTATTTTAACTTTTTAATTAAAGGTCTAAAATTTTAATTTTTTGAAAATTTATTAATTTAAGGACTAAAAGTATAATTTTAAATTTCTTAATATTACTTTTAAACCTTTAATTTAAATATAAATGATATTACTTTTAAACTTATTCATTATTTCTAAAAAAAAATTATATAAACTTTTATTTTGATGATTTTTCACTCATTTATTTTAATAACTCTAAATCTTTTAATATAAATGAGGTAAATATAATACAAGATTTATGTACATTTTAAGATTTCTGTGACTATCTTTGCATTTTATATAATATTTACGTTTATAAATAGACGTAAGTCTGATTTTATTTATTCGATAAATGTAAATAAATTTATAAGTTATGTATTTTAGCTAGTTATTATATTCTATTTATAAATTTTCGTTTACTAAAAAAATTTCTAATAATCATGTATTTCTTTTTTTCTATAAATAAAATAAAAACGAAATTTGAATTTTCAATTAATATATAAATAAAATGTTTTTAATATAATAAGAATATAAATTTATTAATATTTTATATATAAATATATTTTTTTTATGTTTCGTATTGATATATTATTTTATGCATATATTTTTTAAGTATATAATATATATATACATAAATATTTATATATATATATATATTTTTTTATTTTCTTTTTATTATTTTATTTATACTTATATTGTTTTTTGTAATATTTTTTTTTTAATTACTTTTGAATATTTTTTTAATTCAAATATTTATCTTTTACTTGAGGTCTTCCTATTTACGATTAAAGCTCTAATTTTTTTTGTATGTTTTTAATTTCTTTAAAATTTTATTCTTTTTAAATATTAATATGTCTGTATCTTTTTATATTAAATTTTTTTATTTATTACTAACCAACACATTTTTTTTTTAATATATTATATAAAAGAGAAGTAATAATTTTTTTTTTAAACAAAAAAATTATATTATCTATAATTTTATTATTGTTTTTATACATATTAATTTTTTTTTTTTATAAAAATTTCAATTACTAATTATTTATTCATTTTTTTTTTTTTACAATAAAAATAAAACAAAAATAAAAATTTCTTAAAAAATAAAATGATTTCTTTAGAAATAAAAAAAATACTTAAATGCATTAATTATTAAATTATTTAGTTTCTCCTTTTTTTTATGAAATTGAAACAACTTATTTTATTTTAAAAAAAGAAATTTAAATAGGAATATTTTAAATTGAATATTATCCAAATAAATTATTTTCAAGAAAGAAAAAAAACCAAATTTTAATGATTACATCTTAAAGACTTCGAATATTAATATCTGTTCATTAAATAAATAAATAAAAGCAGATTAGTAAATTAAATTTTAATAGTATTTTTTAAAAAAAATTATATAATAATTTAAATATTTTTTCGAAAAAAAAAAAAAAAAAGCAAAAATTTATTAAAGATTAATCGTATGAAAACTAAACTTTAATTAATTTGTTTTATGTTAGTAATGAAAAAAAAAATTGAAAAGAATACAGATAAAAATAATTAGAAAAACATGTGACTTTAAAATCACATAAAAAATGTAGTAAATCTAATATGCATTTATAAGCAAAATTGGAAGTATAGTTAAATAATATTAATAAAAACATTTTTTTTTTTTTAAATTAAAATTTAAAATAAGCGTATATATATTTTAGAATCATAATTATAAAATATAACATTAATAAATTAGAATGTTAATAATATAACAATTATAGATTATATTAATAATACACCTGATAATATAATATAATTATATTATATATTTAATTTATTAAAATTTACTTTTAGATTTTAATAAAGAGAAAAAAAGATTTTTATTAAAAACTATTTGCAAAAAAAATAAATAAAAGTAAAACTTTAAAATAAAAAATTGTTTATATACAAGTAGTTTAATAAAAAAATATATATAAGAAGATTATTTAATATGCTTTTTTTTATTTAAATAAATAATAAAAAATAAATATAAAAAAAATATTTATATTATTTTAAAATTTATTAAATACGAATATTAAGAATTTAATTGTTTTTAAATTATAGATGTGAAGTAAATATATATATAAATATATAAATATATAAATATATAATATATATATATAAAATATAATTATTTATTTATTTTATAATTTTGTTTATAAAATAAATTACATAAATATATTTATTTTATTTATTTTTAAAATGTATAAATTAATATTTTTAACTATTAGGATTAAAATACTTTTTCTATAATATATATTTTATAAAATTTAATTGCCTAAAATATATTAATATATTTAAATGTTTTTTTTTAATTAATTATTTAATAAACATTTATTTTTA